CTGCGCCTCACCATCCTGCCCTGGGATGAGAGCATCCTGGACATCCTCTCCCCCAGGCTCTTCATAGGTACCCGCTCCTTGGGGGTAGGAGGTAGGGAGGTACTAAGGTGGTGGGTTGGTTTCCTAGGGCTTCCTGGGACACACGTGGGCTGGCTTAGGACAACAGGAATGTGTTCTCTCATGGCCTGGAGGACTGAAGTCCAAACGCAGGGTGTTGCAGGGCCCAGCCACCCTGGAGCCTCTCAGGGAAGAGCCTTCTTTACGTCTTCCAGCTTCTGGGCGCGTTCGTGGCCTTGCAGCTGCCTCGCCCCCTCCCTGCCCCCACCTTCACGTGGTGTCTTCCTTCCGTCTCTGTGTCTCTCCTTTACAAGGACAGTGCTCAGCTGGGATTGGTGCCCCCGCTCCACCCTGACCTCATGTAAGCTGAACTAACCACCTCTGCAGAGCCCCAGTTTGCAGTAAGATCACCTTCACAGGGATTAGGACCGGACCGTGCCTCTTTGGGAGGTACGTCTTCCTCCTGTGACCTCCTCTGTCTTCACGAGGGGGAGACAGAGTCCCCATCAGCGGCCCAAGGCTGAGGTCTGTGAGGCAGAAGTCAGACATGACGCCACCTTCCAAACTTGACCAACTCTGACACCAACCACCCATCCCACAGCACTCGGCTTCCCTGCTGGCTCATTGCAGCTCATTGTAACTCATTGCAGCTGCCACTCGGAGCTCACAGACGACACTCACGATTATGGGGCTTTACTAGGGAAGTAACCGGTCACAGTTAGGTTCGGGAATGCTCGGGGTACGGATCTTTGATCGGGACAGCCGCCCCTCGGCCATGCCTCCAGGCACGCCTCTCTTTGCCCTCGGCCTCTGGGCTCTGGGCTTTGCCCTGGTTGGCCAGTGTGACAAAGCTCTTTAGGTCTCCTGATACCTGCACCTCCGTTCACCCCATAGTGCCAGCATGACTCCTGCCCGGAGGCGCTGAGCTTCCTTGTTCCCCGGGCAGTAACACTGCCCTGTCCCTTGCCTTTGGTTCCACTGCCTTCATCTCTCTGCTGACCTTCCGCTGGTCTCTCTGCCAAAGAGGTCAAGTGCAGGGACCTCAGGTCCAAGGATCCGTTCCGGTCTTCTCTGTCTTGATGGCAGTGAGATCCCCTGTTCTGCCTCTAAGAGGACTCATTTCACGCCTAACAAAATGATAAAACTAAACCATCTCCCCCGAAGGGTTCATACACCTTGTTTGCATGGTCCCCACCCCGCAAGGGGGCCTCGTACCTAGTTTATGTTGCTCACAAGCTATCCAGTCCTCTTGGTGGGCTGCTGGCACACGGACATTTCACAGTTCCCCAGGCGTCTGGTGGGAGTCTGAGGCTGTGGCTGCGAGAGCCGTACCCGGTGACGCGCTGCACCACGGGGAACACAAGTCAACTCGTTGTTTTCTGTGAATTTGAGAAGAGTTAGAGGACTTCTTGCCTGTGTGGTATGGAATGAGGTGGTGTCCTGGGCCACCACCTCCCAGCTGGCACAGGCCGGGTCCCAAGCCACCACCTCCCGGCACAGGCCTCCCACCTAGAAGAGGCTGGGTCCTAGACCACCACCTCCCACCTGGCACAGGCCTCCCACCTAGAAAAGGCTGGGTCCTGGGCCACCACCTCCCTCCTGGCACAGGCCTCCCACCTAGAAAAGGCTGGGTCCTAGACCACCACCTCCCTCCTGGCACAGGCCAGGTCCCAGGCCACCACCTCCCAGCACAGGCCTCCCACCTAGAAGAGGCTGGGTGCTAGGCCACCACCTCCCACCTGACACAGGCCTCCCACCTAGAAAAGGCTGGGTCCTAGACCACCACCTCCCTCCTGGCACAGGCCAGGTCCCAGGCCACCACCTCCCAGCACAGGCCCCCACCCCTCCGGCTGTGCTGAGCACCCTTCCCCCGGCCCACGATCAGAAGGAAAGCAGCCTTCAGCTGAGCCCACGTCAGGCCTCTGCCCCTTGCTGCCTGTCTCCCGACTCTGCCGCTCTGCTGCTGGGACTTGTATGTCCCTCTGGACGCCGCTCAGTGGCCATTCCCTCCTGCAGCTCCATCTCAAAAGCTCCCCGCTTACAGTGCCTCTCCTAAGGCCCCCTGCCCCCAAACCCACGGAAGGGTGGGACGTTTGATAAGTCGTCAGACCTGGGTTGGGCAGGTAGCTGGCTGCAGAGACCAGCTCATTGTTCAGCGCTTAGAGGAAGTCACTGGGAAGTTGGGGACCCATCCCACATCCTCAAGGCACAGGCCCCACCCGAGAGTGACGTCCGAGGCCAGGGGAGCGCATTGCCTTGTCACGGGGCTCCCTGGGAAGGAGAGGAAAGGCTGTGGGTTTTGAGGAGAAAGATCCAGTTCGAGGGTGCAAGGAGAAGCTCAGTGAGCTGGGGGCGTTCCTAAGAGTCCCGGTGGTGCATGTTGTGAGTGCACTGGCTGCCAACCCCAAGGCCGCACGTTCACGTCCTCCCAGAGGCCTCAGGAGGAGACAGTCAGCCGTGGGAAGCCCCACAGAGCACAGTTCTGCTCTGACATGGGGGCTCGCCGTGAGTCGGAACTGAGGCGACAGCACGTTCTTGTTTCAATAATGCCCTTCAGTGGGTCCTGCAGTGACCTACCAAAGGGGTGAGCGGCTTGGGGACCCCGCCC